CAACTGAGGGGAATGGGATTTCTGTTCTTCGACTGGAAATGAAAGCGCCCTCGTGTACACCATTGTAGGTGATGGCTAGTATAGAAATTTTGCAAGTCAAACAGTGCTTGGCGATAGGAGAATCTGAGTTGGTGGGATAATCTGTTCATCTGGAAAACCTTCCCGTAGATACATGTCAACTGCGCACTCGTCATCAAACCAGAAGAAAACTCTAATGCTCGATAATGAAACATCATGTGCTGGTTGTTCTAAGAAATGTATAGCTACTACCTTCACCCTTGTCCAATTTGATTACTTTGCAATATCATGTATACCTAAGGATTCCAGATATAGAGCTCGTTTGATAAAGATTAAAATTCAATTAAAATTGAAAATATAGCCGTTATTGGGTCTCACTCGTCTAATAAAAGTGAGCAAATTTTTCAATTTTAATCCGATTTTAATCTCTACCGAACACGCCCATAGAAATTGTAGAAAAATACAATCGTCAAATCAGAATGGCCAGATGATCGCACCAATTTAAGAACAAATTATTGATCCATTTTACTCCTTGCAGAGCCCACTTTCTGCAATGCAGTAATATGGAGAATCTCCAAAAGAAAATATGAACTAATTACCATAAAGTAGGAAGCCACTGTTGAAAATAGTGTGAGCATAAGTCATCAGCTTCCAACCGAACAGAGTAAAAGGTCCAAATGGAATTTGGATTTGATCATAGACGCAAAATTGAGTTCTTATGGCCACAGGGGATACTTGGCCAAAGCCGGGGCATGAGTACCTTATAAAGTGTGTACATCAATAGTGAAAATTGCTGTTCTCGGACAGCAGTAACTTGCACATTTCAAGGTAGCATAGCATATGTCATCGACAAGCAGCAACTCCCCTAATGCAAATCCATGGTAACCTGGAGAAGGAATTTCAATAAACTACTACCTAAAAGGGGGATCAACTAAATAAGATGGAAAAATTATGTGAGTTGCAATTAAAAGTAGCAAATAAGTGACTCAAGTTTGCTCCTCAACAAGCATTCCCTCATCCCAGCTCCCTTAAGTAAATAGTAATTATAATATATTCATAGCATAATCCATAACTGGCATGCAACATTTTATGTACAAGTTGATTATTTATGCCAGTCGGTTGGTTATCTTATTTGGTAGATTTTTTTTATTTTCCCGAGGGCGTTGATGTGGGAATAGGGGGTGTCTTTAACTGAGAATTTGATGGATTTTAAAAGATTATAAATTCTAATGAATTTCGTGGATATAAATAGATTTCCACAAAATCCATAAAAAATTCATTAAAAATGGTGAAATTTCGAAAGAGTATTATTATTTGTATATTTAAGTTTGAAATTCATCCAAATCTTTTAAAATCCTCCTATTAATGAAATCCTTATAAATTCATAAGATATTGAGGATACCTAAATTTTAAAAGATTTCATTAAAAATCGTTAAAAATCCCAGTTAGGACACCTAAATTTTAATGAAATCTATTAAAATCTCCATTGGAGATACTTGAATTTAGAAGGACTTTTAAAATCCATCAAAATCTCAGTTGAGGACACCCCGTAGATTTGAAAACATATAGGAATCACATTGTTATGGAAGAAACATTATTTTGAAGCCCTGAATAGAAACAGACATTGGTCAATAACATCTGTTAGTAAGTATAGAGTTACACTTCATAAGC